CAAATACCCCCACCCCCCCCCCATGATTAAAACCAACTAATACAACCCCCCCAATAATCAAGTCTCCTCCAAAATGAGTGGAGACCTCAACCCCCTTCCCCCCAGTGTGCAGACCAAAATTACGCTCTTGCACCCTACTGCCCCCATGAAACACATTTCTTGCCTAAGGGCCCCCGCCCACATCACTGGCAGTCTCTCCTCTGCTAGTGCACCTTCTGGAAGTGGGGCAGAGCTTGCTAGTTCACCACAATCCTCATGACTCAGGAACCATCTCAATGACTTTCACTATTACCTCTCCAGAGGCTAAGAATCCTCTTCCATCACAAGGCCTTTCTGGGCTACTTGGCCCTACGCAGTGCACTAATTCATGAAGACCTCCACTGGCTGCCCATATTTCCCCTTCTTACCTGCTGATGTCCAGTGCTAGGTGATCAGAACTGCCCTTGATGCGGTTCTGAGCCTCCATGTGGTTCATACTCTCTGTGCTGTCTCCATTGATGGCCAGGATAACATCTCCGAGCTTCAGCTTGGCCTGCTCAGCCTTACTTCCAGATGTTATCTTTTAAAGAACAACAAAGAGACCAGCTCACAGAAACCCTTTGATTGAATGTGAATCTGAATTTTGGTGCATTGTCCATCTGGCAAAGACATTAACAATTGTGTTTTCGAGGCCAGGCGAAAGGTCATGACTTGATCCATTACAGTCTCCCTTCCACAAATTCCCCATTAGCACATATAATAAGAATTAACCGGTATTAAATGAAAAAAAGAAATTCCAGAATATTTGCTATAGAAATATTGAATATTGTATATTATTTTGACGAAGTTAGGGGTATTTATAGATGCAGTGATTAACATTTTTCACAACCCTGACCGCGAATTATTTAAGAAAGGTACTTTTAGCTACAATATTAGATATTATAATCATTCATTGTATTAAACAGACCAGCCAGACTGAAAATACCTCAGCCCATAATGAATTTCTACTTTGGTCCCCGTATTTGTAAACCTACAAACACATATGCAGTTTTTAGGTGACATCTATGTCAGTTACAAACTGTTGCTCATTTATTAACAGGGTTTCTGTTTGCCTGATAACACCGACGCGAATAACGTTTCTTTGAAAGAACCGAACGTTGAAAAGACATAAAACAAGTTCGCGTTTCACTTGACTTTGTGAGTTAATATAAGTCTCATATGACAGCATGCCGATAAATCTTACTTTATCTCTAGCCACATGGCTCTATGGAATGCGGTACTTTATGGGTTGAAAATAGAAAGGGATTACATACAATGACAAGAAAGTAAATGAAGCAAACGGACACAAACGCAAAACGGAACTCGCTGTGAAAGGGAAGATAAGGACTGTGAAATAGGAATAAGCGAAAACGGATCAGATAGGCTACAAATACGCTGTTCCTGAGATACATTAAAAAGCCAAAGAGGAGTTTAAGAGTCAACGCAGTTAATGTCATTATAGTAAAATGAGAATTTTACATAGAAAGATAACAGTGTTGTATAAATCAACTGACGATCCCTGTGTTCCACCTCTTTTAACACCCCATTCAAGATGAGATGACTTTTCGGAGTAGTTGTAAATCCGTGGTATGTACATTATTTGATAAGTGTTAATAAAACAAATTATGTAGCCTATTACTAATTTAGGTATTATGGTTGAAAAAAAGTAATACACGAGCAGAAGATATTACGTTTATGTATCCATTAATCGTGTTATAGCCTATGTGGTAAGACAAACTCGGTACGGATGCCTTGGTTAATAAACTTCGACAGACGATAGAACCGCACTTATGATGGGAACTGAAATACGGGATGGAAACGAGAACTATGCCCCACACCGAACCTGAGTTTATTCCAAGCGACGGAAAATACACTGGAAGGTAAATAAAGAGACAAAGGAAGCCTACCTTAGATATTGTTAAAGGTGTACTGAAGTCCCTTCCACCAACAAGTCTAAAGCCCCAGGGAGCGGGTCCGTTTAGGATTACAGTTTTGGACATCTCGTTGTTAATAATTTTCTAAAAAATTAATTAAAAACTAAAATAATATTCAATCAACAACGTAGACTTCACAGCGCCACTGCGTCGGTGCCGCAACAACGTCTGAGGATTTTCTCTCTCACTCGTTCGCACCTTAAATAATGAATCATCCTCATGACGTTGAATAAGGGAAGTTTTGTGGATGAGTTACACGTTAAACGACAGAAATCAAAAACACACGTATAAAATATAAAACATTTAAACGTGTTTAGGCTAAAAACTGAAACATCGTAATCTCCATTCGATTCCCATAACTGAACAAAGTAGCGTCCTGCCGCTTACAATAGTGATAAAAAAGGCAAGATCTTAGCAGACTGCAGCTGAGAGACAAGGCGGCTTCATTTTACACCAAATCTTCTTTCATTGTTTCTGATTTTAAAATGACATAGGCCTAATTCCACGTGTGATTTTCTAGTAAGGGGTTACTTTGATAGGCTACCTCTTGCCAAAGCCACATGTGACAAACTATTCCCGTAGCAGCATTAATGCACTAATAATCTTCATCATTTCCCGGGATGTGACAGGGTCATTTTGACAGACGGTATACAGTACGTGCCCCCTTTCCCATGCCTAACACCGCATTTCCAGTACGGGAGTGAGCGGACCTCATGGCGGACCTCGGTATTGCGCTTTCGCTTCACGCTGCAGCCAGTCAGCGTGCAGGCGGTTCCGAGCCCGAATCACCATGGATTCTCAGATATGCGTCTCCTTCTGAAACCGACGGCTCCATCTGCAGGGTCTGTAAATTCAGACTTATACACACACACACACACCCACACAAACATATATATATATAAAAACCTAGAAGTCTATATAGAAATCTAGGCTAGATGCTAATGTGTTCTGCGAGTTAAACTGTTGTCTGGAAGTTGTCCCATTGTCACTTTGTTATCTGACCTGTAGCGCCTCTCTTGAGTGGTGATTCATGAATAATCTACTGACTCCCAACTGTTGAAACGTCTTCATAAAAATATCTATCTACGATTCTTTACTAACAACAACCCTTACGGTGGTACACGCAGTATTTTGCACTTATTTACAAAAGGATTTAGTGATTTTAGCTTGAATCCTTTGCGAAATACCAGTATGGAACCGATATTTGACTAAAACATAAAAATTTGATTAACGCGTCCATTTTAATGATATATGTCCAGCTGAGATTGAATAGTATATTTTGCTGTCCTGTTAAAATGTTTTACAGTTTGATAAATAAATGAATGAATAATCAAAAGATGTCTAACCTGTCTCAACAGGACTGAAACACCGTATTTATAGAACAAAGACATCTTCTATATAATTCACACATTATAATACAGTTTACAGTTAATTCAAGTTTTCATCCGATCTTTGAATAGAACTAAAGTGAAGTGTATCTGCTGCTGTATGAAGGTATCGGGGTGTGATAAGTGACTGCGTAGCATTGCTTGCCTTGAACAATGTAAGTTATGATTTATTTACAAACCATAGCAGCTAATACATACACCAGCGCAAGTATTTGAAAAATGAAGCTGTAAAATATGTCTATCAGTGCTGTTATTAAAGATAGAGCATCTGAACTTCCACCTCACCTTCCATAATATTCTTTAGAAGAGATTCTCATTCATACAGTGGTGTTTAACCCTGTTGTGGAATGACCCGTATTTTTGTGTGAATTGTGTTCTCGTTGGAGCATCATTAACACGCCTAGAGAAAAAACTCTGTATTGTCTGTTTGTCTAGGTCACGCTGTCATGATCTGCCTCCGTCTACCCCCGTCTTGTTCCTGTTTGGCCAGCAGATGTCGCAACTGGACATCCCGTGTCCTCTCATTTTCCACACTTGCGATTAGTCAATTGTTATGGTTCACACCTGTCCCTCACGTAATATCCATTATTTGTGTATGCATTGTGTATGTATGTATGTGCCTGCCCTCTACAGGCTCCCTAGCTCAGTCATTGATGTTATTGTAGCTGTTGTTTGTGTTGGTTCAGTGAATTATAGTATAAGTCTTATCAACAACAACAACAACAACAAATTTATTTTTGCATTTATCACTATCTTGCCTGTTACACTCCCTGTGTCTGAGGTTAGTTCTGGTCCCTCTTAGTGGTTCCTCCTAATCCCTTGTTTGACTCCTTGTGGTCCTTCTATTTCTGTTACAGTGTGTTTTGTTTGTCATAAAACTCTATCCGTTCAAATCACATGCCCGTTTACAGATGCCACTTTATCCTGGTGTCCAGATGCGGCACATGCAGAGTGACACCATTTCCATTAAAAACTTGGTTTGCAGAGGAATTAATTGCACTCTGTCACCGTACTGCATAGCGATACAAATAAATTTTCCGTAGTCAAAGTAAATAAAAAAATAATAATTTGTTTACTGGCAATTTAACATTTATTGGTCACATGTTCAGAAAAACAGGTTCACTCTAATGCCTAAACCTACGCTGCTCAGAGCTCACGGTGGAATCAGTATATACCTCACAGAAAGTATGTTTCATACTTTCTGTGAGTGATCAGAGTGCCGTCTCCCCGCTCATAATTGGTCTTCATTGAATCCTAGATATGGCTTCCATGTGAAGTATTGTTCACCACAATATGAAACGTGCACTCTCATTGACTAGAATAGAACAAGATTTAAACAGAACCTTATAGTGTGATCTTTGGAAATAGTTGCTCTACTGAATATATTGAATAGTGCATATAACCATATGTAATATTCCTTATGCCCGTCATCCTCAGACCAAACTCAGAGGCATACTCTGAGAATTTGGTTTTATGATATCACTATCATCATATGCAAAGTAATTTGACAGGCTTTTCCACCATTCTTCCTAAAAACAGAGGACCGTTTCAACAACATAAGCAGTTATGGAAAATACCTTGACTAGTAAATGGGAACATATACTCATACACTTATCTTACAATAAACCTTCTGAGTTTCAAATAAGACCATTCATCCATTCACATAAACAGTTTTACCTCTACAGAAACACAACAGTTAATTTACTATATGCTGAGAGAGGAGAGGATTTTACATGGCCCAACGATGCTATCTACAGGCCAATGCAAGTATTTTTGCAGAGTGTTGACTAAAAAAATTTATACTAAATGAATAGACTATAATAATTAATAAATAAAAAATGTATTTAGTCTTTGAGAGATATTGTGTAAAAACAGATGTATGATTAATCCAAATCATGAATGTTCCCTTAGTGGTTTAAGTTTCAACATATATTTTGGATTTCATATCTAAAATACATACTGTTAACAGATCCAAATAAATGTAATATTATTTTTAAATAGTTAAACTCAAATTATAAAAAAACAAAAGGTTCACTGTTATTATTTCCGCCACCATCAGCGTCACCCCCCTTATTAAACGCGCTCTATATCTCAAGTCACACAGACCCGCTGAAACGTCGTCTTCCCTGGCGCACTTTATACAAGGTTTATGTCATTCTTTGGGAACCTACCAAGTCGGCAGGGGTGTTTTCTTGTAGGCAAAGGCATCGACGCAACGTTTGAACCGTGGCTGAAGATTTAATATATTGTTATATAGAGAGAGTTATGTAAAGAAAATCCAGGTAAGCCTGATCACTAACCGCATTTCTGTTGGAATAACTCTATCTATTATTCATAAAAACAAAAGCGATGTCGGTAACACAGACTTGCCGCACCTCCAACTTTCTGCGGAGCTTCGGCGCACAGAAGTTCTCGAAGCGTCCATGAGTTAAGATCGCATCCCTAGGGAAGCTTATCAGCAGAGAATCAAATAAGGCCAGAATATGCCACAGAATGTTATTTTTTATATATCTAATTAAGCTTTAGCAGAGTGTCAGGATAGACATCGCCCACCCTTCCTGATTTTACAACACTTAACATCTCAGTGTATTATAGATACAGTTGGTTGTTTTTAGGATGTTTACTTTGGCGGGTAAGAGAATTTTCAATTCGGTGTCCAATTAAAGAGTAAGTGGAACGGATATGTTGTGTATTTTACTTTCTTTTATGTGTACTTTCTTAGTCTAGGATATTTACAAAAACGTTTGAGAACACCGCAGCTTTGATCTTTGGGCATTCACAGTACAGTATTTCCTGCAACTGTAGTTGGCTTTTTGAGCCATGAAATTTTGTGATGTGAAATGTTGTTACTCCCTTTAGGAAAAGAGCAATTTAGTTTGATTGATCCAACACAGTTTTGTCTGATTCTACATGCAGATCGCTGCTCTCAATTTATATATTGACATTTCTATGGTTATGTTTTCACAATAAGAGAGTAGTTTAAATGGAAAACAACTTCTCCTAAACCTTGGCAGACTACACGTGCTGACTTACTTACCTCAAGCCAGCACCGTTTGTCTTATTCAGGCTTTATACTGAAGTAAACATGAGACTGGCCATGTTCTTCTGCTTATCTGGAGCCCTGTTTTGCATCCCTCACATCCAGGCTGAGTTCTACACGTCCATCGGTATGTGTGTTCTCATTACGCAGGAATGTACGACATTATCATTGCATGTTGCCGGCAGAAAAGTTAGACATAATTTAAAATTAGTTTAACCGATGAATGTACTTTGAAGAGCGTTTCAAAAGCAGGAAAAGTTTCCTCCGTCTTTTCTCCAAATTGCTTTCTTTTAGGTCAGATGACAGAGCTGATATTTACAGAAAGGGAGCTGGTTCACTCTCTGAAGGAGTATATATGCTCTGCGGAGTCAAAACTTGCATTTATTAAAAGGTAAAGTAATATTTACTGAAATGTTAGTTGTAATACTTGTGTTGGTATTAACATTTGAAGTTCTTCTGGCTCCATTTTTTTGCCCGTTGTTGCATACTTAAATACTTATTTCTGTAAAACACATTGAATGACCTCTGTGTATGATAATATGCTATATAAATTAAATAAACTTGCCTTGCAAACTTATAGTGCAAACCTGACACCTGGCAGCAGTAAACCCTTTCTGGGAATATATAAATCATCTAAATGATAATTTTATATAATTTATTATTCATATAAATTATTATGTTTGTTATTAATCAGTAATAACGGCTTGGTAACTCAGTCCATGGCCTGTTACATAGCGTGGAGGTCCATCTGAATCTGTGTTTCTGTTATGGAGTCATGCATTGTGTGATCAGTCTGTGTGTGTCATCCTCAGTTGGGCAGATAAGCTGGATGTTTTGACTCAAGTGTCCACAGCGGACCCAGAGGGCTACTTGGCACACCCCGTCAATGCCTACAAACTGATGAAGAGGCTTAATTCCGAGTGGCCACAGCTGGAGACCTTGGTGCAGCAGGACCTGTCCAGCGGTAGGCTTGAGAACCAAACTTATTTTGGGGCTTGAATTGGTAGAACGGGGAGTACAGTTGTGTGTTTGCTGCCTGTGGCCCCGGAGGCGTGTGGTGAAGACCAGCTCTGCTCTGCTCTCTGTCACCTTCCTCAGGCTTCATCGCCAACATCTCACTGCGTCGTCAGTTCTTCCCTGATGACGAGGATGAGAGGGGCGCGGCCAGAGCACTGTTTCGTCTTCAGGACACGTACAGACTCGACTCGGAGCTTTTGTCGAGCGGCCAGCTTCCAGGTGAGAGGGATTTGGCAGCGGAGTGAGGTTTAGCGCCGTGGTCCCCTTCGTCACAAGCGGTATCTCCTCTATTACATACTGCTATGATACCTCGTGAATATTTATCTCTATTAACACGGGGCTAACATTTATTTTTTTGTAAGGAGGGGTGAGAGTCGAAGGAAGATCATTTGAGAAATTTATTGTGATGTTGAAACTCTCAACTGTGGTCATTTCCATTTAAGCTGTATACAGCGTTTTCCTCCAACACTTATAGCTGCCACTATCGACTATTTTTCTATGGGTTTAATCTGTCTACTATTTTACCGATCGATTAATCTGAATGATTAATACCGATCGAATAATCTAAACACTTAATCTTCCTCCAGGAAATGAAATTGACAGTTTAAGTTAATTTCAATTTGACAACAAACTGCATGTCACTGCGGTGCTTTAGATAATGGATGCTGACTTTTCAGCACGATACGGACATTACTTTCGCAAACAATTCCATAAGCAAATTAGCAGTATGCCTAAAATATTAATGAGATGCCCAAAAGTTTTAGATCCTCATGCTTATTAGGTTCGGTTAGTGGAGCACGCCGCTGCGATTGTTTTGGTAAAACATGGAAGCTCTAAGTGGCCACATCTTTTCAAAAAGGAGATATTGTGGTTAAACTAGGTAGAAAGATGTTGGTAGTGTGCCATTCCTTTTTGCAGATTAAAGTAAGACACTTTTTTTTGGGGGGGGGATACCAGCACAAAAAATATTAAAATGCTCTCTATTAATGGAAATGTAATAAACATGAATAGATAGCGCTTATGGTGATTTTTGCCCATTCTGGCCATCCATCACCCGAATAGTACCTGTGTGTTTCTCTTCAGGTGCTCGAGCATAGCGCTGGTGCCCATGTAGTACGCCATCGAAACTTTGCACAGTGTACAAACCACCTTTTTGCTTTGTTGTAATTTGAACTACGCCAATAATTGCACAGTGATATTTAAGAAAAAACATTTGATGTAATGAACTGAAGCATTTTAGAAACGATGAAGGTAATTCCATAAAAATGATTTTTAAAAAGTGAGGCGTCGATGTTATTGACCACGTTGACTAATCGCGGGAGCCCTAATTGCTAGAAGTAAAAAGTCTCGCATGTTCAGGTGTGCAGTACAGCAGCCACCTCTCAGCGGATGACTGCTACTCCTTGGGAAAGACGGCCTACGAGGAAGAAGATCATTACCATTCCGTACTGTGGATGCAGGAAGCACTGCGACGGCTGCACACAGGCGAGGAGGCCTTCGTCTCCCAGGCTGAAGTTCTGGACTATCTCAGCTATTCCGTCTACCAGATGGGAGACGTTCATCGGACTCGTGAGCTGACAAGACGCCTGATTTCAGCTGGTAGGCCTGGCGCCTGCCTCCGTCTTCGTCTGTTTCAGTCTGTCAGTCACAGAAGGAGCCTTTGCTGTCCCTATTTGGCCTTTTGCGGTTTTACTGTAAAAGCTTTGTTTTTTTTTCCCCTGAAATTGCAACGTTTTATTCAAAATGTAATTGATTTATCGATTACGTGGCTTTTAAAATATGTTTAGTTAATGCTATAGTGCGTCTAGTTCTGCATTTTTCAAGTTATTCTCGTAGTTTTGCATTTGAGAAGGAGGTTCCCCTTCTGTTCTAACAAAGACACCGATGTGTCACAACCGGAATGAAATTGGCCGGAAGAAGAAAAATCATCATACAGTCCATGAGACTGCGTTGGTTTACTGATTACCATGGGAACTGGGTGAGAGCTGGAAGTCGAGTCCCCACAGAGATGTCGGTGTCAGAGTAACGGTCCTTTCTGTCTTCGTCAGATCCCACCCATGAAAGGGCGAGAGGAAACCTACAGCACTTAGAGCTGATTCTGTCCAATGAGGCGACCCAGAGCAGTACCATGGCAACAGCAGCAAAGCCCATAACACTGGAAACCTATCAGCGTCCCCCCAGTCATCTGTCTGACAGGGAGATGTATGAGGCCCTTTGCAGGGGAGAGGGGGCCACAATGGTAAGTGTCCAGTGGGGGTCTGCTAAACTGCTGTGTCTGTCTGCCCAATGGCTCTCCTGTGTTGACCCCTTCCAAATTGATTGGGGGGGGGGGGATTCTGTAATTCCTGGCCACTTTCATGTGTCGTTTTACTACCTCACAACAGGAACTGTGACTTTAATGCTAAATATGCACGGGGGGATGCAAAAAGTGTGTAGGTAAATCTTTACATGTAATTTCATACAGAACTACGCTGCCACACCAAAACAATGGAGGATGAACAAGTTGTTTGAAAAAAGTTGAAAATATGGGACAAATCTCATTTTCATACCGGCTGCGACATGTTTGAGTTTTAAATCTGGTCTGTCATTTTCCACAGAATAAAAAAACCATGTAACATTGCCAAGGCTTATTAGTGTGATAAAGGTTACCTGCCCGCACCTGTTATATTAGACAGAAGTATGTCAGTTAGCCATCAAATTTTCTGAAGCAGGAATATGGAGATGCAAGCAAAAAGGTTCTCATTAATGCATTAAAAAATAATTCCATCTGCTCATTTTTGCTCCACTATTGATATTTTCCCAGCACTTCTGCATAACTTCCATGTTAGTGCTGGTGCTTATGGTCAACCAGTCTGCAGAGTACATTGAAATGATAGTAGTTGTTGATCAAGCAAAAAAACTAAAGGTTCAGGACCTACCTCTGAGGAACTACAGTCGGGCCAAGTTCTTCCAGTGGGAACACAACAGAAGTTCCTGGTTCCTGAAAAAGGTTCTGGTTCCTGCTGTGGGAAAGCCCCTTTTGTCACTTTATTCATACATGTACTCTCCCGTCTCGCAGACGTGAGTAAACAGTAGGTGTAGACCGGTGTTCGCACTGCTAAGTGTGGTGAGTAACCCCTCCGACCCCCATCTTGTGCTCAGACTCCACAAAGGCGCAGTAAGCTCTTCTGCCGCTACCAGGACCGGGGCAGGAACCCACGGCTGCTCGTGGCCCCTATGAAGGAGGAGGATGAGTGGGATAGCCCACACATTGTGCGCTACCATGATGCCCTGTCACAGGCTGAGATCGAGAGGATCAAAGATCTCGCCAAGCCCAAGGTGAGAAGGTCACAGCGCATGTCATGGAAGGTCATGGTCATGCTGCTAGAACTGCGGTTAAAATCAAGGAAATTATTTGGGCCTGTTGACGTAGTTGTGGTCATTTCTGATGGAAGTACTGCACGTAAAAAACACTTTTTGATTATTATGTGTTTTTCCTGTTTTGTATGTTGTCGTTTTGTTTATACTTGTTCGCAAAGCTCGCAAGGGCTACGATACGCGACCCAGTGTCAGGCGTTCTAACAGTGGCCAATTACAGAGTGTCTAAAAGGTAAGCAGTGAAACGGGTTCGTTGGCCGTGTTCCCTGCGCTGACCGATTCCCCTGATCGTCTTGGCCGGTGCCTGTCTCCGCCCTTCTTGCTGGGTTGGCATCTCGGCTCTCTTTCATGTGCCCCCAGCGCCTGGCTAGAACACAAGGTGGACCCTGTTATTGCCCGCGTCACTCGGAGGATAGCTGACGTAACGGGGCTCTCGTTGGAGACTGCTGAGTCGCTGCAGGTGCTTTGCGTCTTTCTGTGGGTTTGATGTGCATCTAAGCTGTCCTTAAAAATACATGTATCCATCAGTCCAGAGTCCGAACATATCCTCCCATTTGCTGCCTGTAATTCCTCCTTAAATGCGTCTTTTCTGTGTCACCGAACAGGTTGCAAACTACGGAATAGGAGGCCAATATGAGCCACATTACGATTTCTCGAGGGTAAGCTCTGTGTACAAATGACGGCCTAATCAACAAAAGCCCGATAACAAACACTTAAAATCAGATTTGTTTTCAGAAATGAAAGATCTTTTAAAACAGGCAAGTAGTAAATCCTTGGTTTACTGGGTTGAAATCCCATTATTGGTCTTATTAGGTTGACTGGCAAAATACTAATGAAAAATACAGTTTTTTCCAGGACTGAATCAGATGTGGACAGTGTTGGTTATAGTACCACCTAGTGAGCAAATCACATTAATTAACAAACATTAACTCCTCCCTGCAAATTAAGCTTGTAATTATACTGTATATTTGCATTGTATGGGCCAGAAGTTTTTGTTTGCAGTTAAAGCTGTAAACTTTCTTTCAGCGTCCGTTTGACAGCGACCTCAAGATTGAAGGAAATAGGCTTGCGACGTACCTGAATTATGTAAGTTTGTGACTCTCCTGTGAGGCACATGCTACCCTTCAATGGATTTACTGTACAATTTTATCTTCATAGAAAGATGAGCCTGATGTTATCAAATCATTAGGCAGTGGAAATCATCAGGCTACTTTTTAATGTTAAGTAAGTATGTAAGTACCGATGACACAAGTAGACGAATCAATGTTTTTCCTTGGTGTTTCCATCATAATACATCATACTTGGTGGTATTTCTGTCTAATGCATCAGCTGTAGCTTGACCTTACATTTAGATTTACTGTGTATTCAAAGTGAGCTGTTTCTATTTTTTAATTAATGACCATTATAATTTGCAAAAAGGCAAATTATTAGTAAACAGTTTCCACTTCTATGCAAATGACTTAACAATTACTTGGCACGTATACGTTGAGTATAGCCTCACCTTAAATTGCATTTTCACAGTCCCTTATCAGTAAAACACTATGTCATTACAATAAACCTTAACTAAACATTAAGTTCATTTTGACAAGCAGGCAAAATTTCGGCTTAAGCTGCGACTGCCCATCTGATATCGCTGTTTTCCTCCAAAAGCTGAGCGACGTGGAGGCTGGAGGTGCTACGGTCTTCACAGACATCGGCGTGGCATTGAGGCCTAGACAGGTGAATGATCATTTCAGTAAAGGGTGACGCGGTCACACTTGTTTGCACTGTGCGCAAATATTGTTGTATTCTTTGGAGGTGTATTTACAGTACAACAGCAGTAGGTGTCGCAATTTCACATTAAATTTCCTCATGGTAGTCTCCAAACTGTTAAGGGTTGGTTATGAAAAATATTGTTTTAGGGAGCAGTATTTTCTTCTCCGCTGATTAAAATCAAATTTTGAGTTATTGCCATAACACTTGATTTTTAAGCATTTGTGAAAAGTAAACAAAGTAGAACAAGTAAGAATAATCCGCAGAACTGTTTTTGCTCTTTCATCTTTTTTCTATAATTTCGGCTGTTTTCTTGCCCTCCAGGGTACTGCTGTGTTCTGGCACAACCTCCATAGGAGTGGAAGGGGAGACTTAAGGACGAGACATGCTGCCTGTCCGGTGCTGCTAGGCAACAAATGGGGTGAGTCTGACCCTCCGGGTACAGAGACCGTTCACATTTAAACTTCTGTGTTATTCACCAAACCTCATATGTTAGCAAAAGGAGCTCTTGTACCCAGGGGCAGATTAAGGTGTACAGAGGCCCCTAGGCTACAGTAGTCTGTGGGCCCCCCAACCCCGCCCCCCTCCGTGCCAATGGGGGCCCCCTTGCAGGCTGGCACACGTGGGGCCCCTAGGCTTAAGCCATATCTAGCCTGTGCGTTAATCCGCCCCTGCTTGTACCTAAGAAGGATGGTGTACTATAAAGCAACGTTTTCCAGTCCGCTCCTCAGGAACCCACTGATGGGCCACATTTCGCTCCCTCCCTGCTCCCTGTCAGACAGTCCACATTTTCTTTGCTTGGAAGGGAGCAAAAACGTGGACTGTCTGTGGGTCCCTGGAGACCGGATTGGACCGTATTAAAGAAATAAGCTGAACACTCCTCCATCAGTGAACGTCTGACACCTTTATGGTCCCAGCATGTAGAATGCAGTCTATAGTTACTGGTTCCTCGTATTTGGGCTCTGTGGACACATTGTGTGTCTCCCCTCGTTTTAGCGCTCTGTGTTTGTTTTTAATGTTTTCAGAGCCAAAATCCAAACAGAGCTCAATTCACGTAATAAAAATTTGTCGTTAGCAGTTATCATTAGCTTCTGCTATTTTTTTTTGTGCTTTATTGGTTTAGTGTTATTCAATTAAACTTTGGAGGTAGCGGATTAGCAGTTATCAGCTTTTTCCGGTCAGTTGTACCCACCACTGACAATTGACGTCGGTGACTTGGCCTATCCCGTGCTCCTTCTTTTTACTCTCTGAAGTAGAACCACGTTAGGGTAGCCTATGCTAGCTCTTCACTAGCTTTTTCAGAACCAGAGTTTTTACTGTTGCACAGTAACAACAAGCTGCTTGGTACTCATTGTGATTACATGGATGTAAGTAAAAGAGTCCTGAGATCAGTATGCTGGACAGACTGCAGTGTGAACCAAATAAACACAATCTGCCCCCTGATATTTTGCTATTGGCAGTAGCCAATATGTGGATCCATGAGCGAGGCCAAGAGTTTCGAAGGCAGTGCGGACTGACGGAGGGGGACTGACCTGGATCGCTGCTCTCATCCCCCTAATGTTCCCAGCCAGTGATTACTGCTGCTTGTCCTTATGTGGTTCTCATTCTGCACTTGGGCTACAGAGTAGCTGGAATTTAATGCAGACGTGGAAGCCAACATTTCTCTAATTACTCAGTTTTAATGTTAGATTGCTTGTTTTTAGTTTCTGCAAACCAAACATTTTTTAATTTAACATTTTACTTTCTTTTAAATTCCATTATATAATTTAAATATACAGGTAGTAAACAATTATACTGTGTATCACCTGACAAGCTCCTGAAATAGCAATGTTTTTAGCCTGTATCTCTCTTGGGAAAGTTGGCAAAGTAGCAGTTATCAACAAATGTGACTCTTGAAAAGAATAAAATGTTTTTGAAAACATGTCCAGTTCTTGGTGTCTGAATTATTTAAATGTGTGTGGAATGCATTGTTGATACCAGACAATTAACTATTTTATTTATTGTATCGCTTAAATGAGGAATACATATGGGTTTAGAACTGGCTGCTGCTTCCATGGCACATGACACTTATTAAATCATAACATATTTGCCAATTAAATGAAATATTTTACCAACATTGCACACACATTGTATGGGTGAAAATCTGGAATTGATAGAATTTTGAGACAAATCGCACCAAAATTAAAGCAATGCTGCTTAGTGGAGGGGTCACTGTAGGAGACTCTTGACGTGCATAACTCAAAAAGTATTTACTGAGTGTTATTATCACTTAACAATATGATATGGTGTGGTAGAATTTTCGCTGAAGTTGATTCATTTAAGAGTCTGACAAACTTTATTTCACTGCAAAGCTTTGGAGAACAGACACTCAGCAGTCTTTCATGCGTCTCGTGCTCGGATCCCTGAATAACAAGTGCATACATCTTTTATAGCCAAGAACGCGGCATAAATCGGAGCTAGATAAGATTTTAACCACTCTGAGCTATTAGTTAAGTTCTCCTCAAACGAGCTTCCGAATGGCCTCCTCTCGTTTGTAAATTTCTTATGTTCCCCACAAAGTTCAAGGAGGGGTTGGATACCTGTGGACACCCGTTACTGCTGCTAAATGGGGCCCATTATCAGTCCAAGGCAGGGTCGACCTTTTCATGATCACTCTTGTGGTTTCATTACCCTCTTCAAACAAGCTGAGTTCCTTGGTTCTCCTTTAACGTATCCTTGACCCCTAACATACATTCAATTCAATTCAATTTTATTTATATAGCGCATTATCACAACATTACATTGTCTCAATGCGCTTTACATTTCTGCTTCGTAAGGACCCCCCAGTGAGTAAGCCAAAGGCAACGGTGGCAAGGAAAAACTCCCTAAGAGGAAGAAACCTTGGGAGGAACCAGACCCAAAGGGGGAGCCCATCCTCCATGGGCCGGCAGATGAGTCAAACTATTGAAACATGCATTTCTTATACATGTTTTCTGCAGCAGCCTTACTTCTTGGGTCAGGTCTGTACCTTGATCCGCTCCGTTTTGCAGAATAAGTCATACCAAATTACGTTAGTTCCTCTTATCTAAAAAATGAAAACCTATTACTTCAGCAAGCTTACATTATATGTTTAGTATATTAAATGTTTCAAGGCAGAGGTTAACTGTTACAATCATCATATTTGAACCAACAGTGTTATAATTTTCATTATTAATTACTGATTGAATTTGCATTGAGTTTGCATAACCATTGGATTTTTCTTCCACGATGGATCAAGATCTACACCTGATTGTATTTTGAGAAAAATCACACCGAAATTGAAGAGGCAGCACTATCTTGCGACAAAGGAAGGAAAAGCAGCTGCAGAAGACGCATGTTCTTGTGAACACTGGAGTTCTAGTATTTCATGGATCTTTCTGATACTCGGTGTTAATGGCACTAATCCCTATTGCAGCACTTTAAAATGCTGACTTGCAATAACCTTTAAAAAATTTTTATCCAATGGTTTTCTTCTACCAAAATTACTAATTGGCCAAGAGTCAGCTGTTGAAAACGTTGTGCTGGAATGCATGGATTTGTGTTTTAGAGAGATCCAGAGGTCCAATAAATCTGTGGATTGTGGCTCAGTGACTCGGAATGTGAGTACTTCATGGGACCATAACGACTGATTAGCAGACAGATATTTTGCGATGCGATCCAATGCAATTATGGTTAATGGAATTGTTATATGTAGCTTCCTTGATGTGATTCTTCCATTCAAAAAAGATCATTTTTTTGAACTTAAGAAGATGACAGTGTATTACAAGATAATGCAAAGACTTAAAGTCTCCTGTTAAAGCCGATACCTGCTGTGAAAAATTCCAAATTGCTATTTGACAGCCAGGGTACCATCCTGTGCAAATTTCAATCTGTTGTGTCTTTTGCCAAAATAATTCCAAGGATGCTTTTTAAAATAATGACCAGAATTCAGAAGTTAAGGATCATCTGCACTTAAAACGTCACATTGCTGCGTTTCTTCAAACATATGAAGATGACAAGGTAAATGTGGCAAGTGAAACTACAGGTGTGTTTTATTAAAGCAAGTGTGATATTATCAATACAAAAGTGTAACTTTCTGAAATTACTCAAATAAATGTTGCAACATTTCAAAATACATCCTTATTTAGAAAATTACCTGGACTCTGTATGAACCACTGAAAGGTACACTACTCAAACCACTACATAAAAAACACACGTGATTAACTTTTCCCATCGTTTCCCTAACCGCTAACCACATCACATCCCTGCGATCAGCATCTTCGGCTGAGGAACCTAATAAATGTGGTAGAATTATCCGGCGGAGAAGCGGAGCGGAAGCTGTCAAACCGGGCATATTCGCTAAGGATGCCGGCGACGGCGGGCGGGGCCTGCCAGCATCATCATCACCGCTATCATCATCCTCACACGCAGCTGCTGATGTTGAGCAGCACTGGAGCGATAGCGGGGCAGCCATGAGCTGCAGTTTGACTGGCGTAGGCCTTGCCGCTTCGGGGGTATTCATACCGAGGTAAAAGAGATTATTGCAATTGATGACGCTGAACATCCGACGGGCTGAAGGACGCAGCAGCTTCTCCGCCTCATGGTTTGTATTTCGAGTTCACATGTGTGGGAATTTCCCCATGCGTGTTATTAATGCGGCGATCAGTAATGTTAAAGCTTTGGAGCCCTGGAGGAGGACCGGGCGAGGGCTGCTGCTCGCTACCTTTACACATTCGTATAAATGCAGCCGTTTTTATTAGTATTTGTCAGCCCCTGAAGCCATTTTCGGGATAAAAACAAGCGACTGTTCCTTTTCATTCTTTCTTTTTATTTATCATATTATTATGGCGAAGTATGTCAGCACAGTTCTATCTAATTTTATGTTATTTTATTCTTTTCCACCTTCTTATGCTGTACAGGGTTAGTTATGAGGATGCCTGCGGAGGACCGGGTCTGTCCGCCGGCGCTCGGGCTCACTGGCGTTCCTGTATGATGCGTGATTGTCCGTGTGATCTCTCCAGGGTGTCCCTTGCCTGGGGGTGGCTCCGGCTCCCCTCCCCCCTCGTCTGGGATAGGTGTATAGATGGATGGATATTACGCTGATCAAAAATAGAACTGCTCTCTCTCTCTCTCTCTCTCTCTCTCTCTCTCTCTCTCTCATGGCAGTCTTCGATTTATTTGTTGGACGCATGTAAAATCGCCTCTATGCAAAACTGAGCGGATCTGATGTTTGCATTGCCGCTGGTCTTTTACTCGATCTCTTTTATTGTTGTACTGAGTTGTAGTATCTAAGATATGAGGCAGCATAAAGCAAGATATTTGTTCATGTCCTTTAACACCCCTGTAAATTAATATGATTCTGGCTTTTAAGACAGTTGGATGGCGACCACGGTGTACATACCAGGGAGTTAGACAAAGTGGTTTGGTTACTGATGAAAGCCCAGAATGAATTTAGGCCTCAGAGATGATGTGTTCTGACTGTCCGCATCTCACATCACCATGACTTAATTTCTTTATCAAATTCTTAAAATGTGTGAACAAAAATACTGCACACTTAGTGGCGCTCTGTCACTACTGGTTGATAGTCGGTACTAGATATATGTTACGAAATTAGTAAAGAAATAGTGTGCATCTGCTCTTTAGAACACATTTTTAAAGGCATGTAGTAAAAATAATACCTATATACAGGTGTTTTATACTTTCTCCAAGTGACACAGCATGGTTTTATTGTATGCAAAATATAACATATTGTCTTGTTTTAAGCAAAAACTTCTTTTAGTGTAACTTAGGAGGACATGCTCAGAAGTTGCACCAAGCTAACGTCACATGTGTAAAATACTAGGTTAAATGTCACATGTTCAAAATACATTGACAAAAATAGACTCATTTGTATACTATTTATCAAAAAATAATATTGAAACATGTTTCAGTGTGTTTTTACCTAACAGTACAGTCATTTATAGTCATTAATAGGGGTGCAAGTTATACACATACAGTACTAATGATAGTTAATGCAATATCATGATGCAATATATCAAGTGTACCTTCAATTACAAAACAATGCAACGGGAATACTGTAAGATTCAATACTTTACAAAAAATACAAATATAAAACTAAATAAAAAATAAAACATTTTAAGAGGGGTAATTGAGAAGAGGGGGGTAATTGATAAAAATGGGCTGTTGGCACATCTCTGCGTATCCAGACAGTGAGACGTAGGAATAGAGCGTCTGTAAGTCCTCACTGGTATCCTGCTCCTTGCCGCTAGACTTGATGTCTGACTCGTCGTTGATGAAATACTGGAACAGGATTCCGTGTCTGACCGGTACTTTTTGTCTGTCCCCTTCGGCAAACTTTCACAATTGTGGGATCCCTCGAGAGATTTTGTGTGATCACCGGTTATCGATAAACAGGCACTAGGAATATTAAGGGATTTTCTTTCACTGGGAAACACCTCAGACAAAATGGCAAATGCATGTTGGGCAGCTGAGCCAGAATGTTCACCAGAAACAGGAATCTTTACGGAGTCGTCCTTCTAGAAGCTGTCCCTCTAGATCAGGGGTCACCAGCCTTTTTGAAACTGAGAGCTACTTCACGGGTACTGAGCCATACGAAGGGCTACCAGTTTGAAACGCCCTCCTAAACTTATCTAAACTTCATGTTTAATAATCATGTTTTAAATACTTTTGTTTTTAGATATTGCCATTTTCAAATCTATATAGATGCAAATGTGATTAAAGAAGAATAGCAACAGGATAAAATTAAATTTTAGACGCTGCTCACTGGTGAGTTAGAACAGGGCGACTCGTGGTTCCTGGGGGCATCCTGGTGCCCGCGGGCACCATGTTGGTGACCCCTGCTCTAGATACAGTCATGTCATATTATGTGTGTGTTCTGCACTTGGCAAATGTACATTGTGCACTGTGGAGAAAGTAATGCATAGAAGCTGGTGTTCTGTGAAGTCATCTCTTCTGGTCTCTATTTTAAGTCGTTCAGTGTCAACACTGGGCAGTTCTATATTTACAGTACAGATACATTCATAAATAATTTGTGAACCTCTGTTTCAGGGCTCCCCAGTTCCGGTCCTGGAGAGCCAGTCTGCACCACAGTCTGCAGATTCCCCTGCTGAAACACACCTTATTCAACTGCTGCCTTTAGCAGGTGTGTTTGAGCAGGGAAATCTACAAACTGTGGTGCAGACTGGCCCTTCAGAACCGGAATCGGGGGAACCCTGCTCTATTTGTAAGTTTTCTAAGTTTTGTAAAACACACATTACAATGAAGTAGAAACCGTTTATGTACAAACTGTATATATTTATATATCATAGGATATTTATTTAGTTTTCACAAATATTGACATTACCTGTTAATTGTGCAGATCATGTCAATCACATTTCAAATAGACAGAGGGCCCAGTGGGTTGGGGGCCTCGATTTTTGCACGTTAGAACACGTCCAGGCATTATGAAACATTATACTGCTTCAGAAACTGCTGTTCACGTTATTAGATTCTTCTTCTGTCACTGGGAATGATGTTTGTTTCTTCGTGGGTTTTCAGAAACTTCAGCCCTTCAGACTTTGGCTTTAGGTGCTTAAGGCTGGGGCACTCTGAGCAGAGGATACCGAGTCAGCCCTTCAGACTTTGACTTTAGGTGCTTAAGGCTGGGCCACTCTGAGCAGAGGATACCAAGTCAGCACCTCACTTCTTAGAAGAAAACTCACTTTTGCAGAAAAATGTTTTTGGGATTTGTATCTGTTGGTACATCTGATAGAACTTTACTTGAGGGGACACAAATAATGTAGTGGAACTCTTACTCAATGTATTAACCAGAAACTAAGTGTTAGTTACATACTGATCCCATGTTTGTTCATCATTAATGAATCACGACGGTTCATGTATTTCATTCAGTTACTATATTTGTTCATGATTTGTACTTCAGTAATAATTGAGTTACTAAGTTACTTGTGCCTCCTCAAGTGAAGTGTTACCGTATATATTTGCGCTTTCAAAGTTTTAGCATCGATTGATTGCATCACTGTTATGGAACGCCCCCCCCCCCCGAAAAGGCACGTCTCTTATTGACTGTCCTACTTTTATCTCTTCCCCTGTTACCCCTACAGCCTATTGGTTACCTACCATTGATCTGCTCCATTAGGTAGATGCTACACGTAGAGGGAGAGGGACCTCAGGACTGTGATTAGAGACACTCACCGAACAGTGAGCTCATGGATCAAATTGTAAAACGCTGAGGTTTCTGACCTACTCAAGTGCTACAGCCCCAGTTAAAACTCGCTGCTATTATGTCCTGCTAAACTTTAAACCAGTGCAGGCCGTGAGCATGCAGACCAAGTGTCCCTCAAGTTGAGTTATCATGGTTTGCTAGGTTACAGGATTGAGAACGAGTGAAGTCAGTTGCAACCAGATGTTTGTGGGTCTGTTTTCAGAGCATGATGCTTTTCTGCAGGTCATCAGGCCAGTAGAATAATGGGAAGGAGGAAGGACTGGAAGCCTTGGAGGACCTTACATTCCATCTATGAGGTGATGGACTTTTCCAAATGAATGTATCAGAGAAGGAGCTGATTTGATGCCATGGCCAAGAAGGGACGTCCCAAGGGCGAGAGGCCCGAAGCTCTTATTTCCTCCCTGCAGGCAGCTAATGAAGAACTCAGGTCCAAACTCACTGAAATTCAGATAGAATTGCATCAAGAGAAATGCAAGGTATGTTTCATTTTATCATGGTATTTTGGCTTTCTGCAGTATCTCATGAACTTTCATGAGATACGCCCAAGATTTTTACTGAGAAGATTAATTTAGGCAGGCCCAATATTTTGTAAAAATGTAACATATAAATGAATCATTCAGTCGACCAGCAAACGAACTTCCTCCGTCAGATAGCATCTCTTAATCCCCTCCCCCATTCCTCATCATTCCTGTCTTCTATCAATAATGCTACACATCATCGAGTTGTCACGCCATGACATTCACGACTCACATCTCAGTGGCCGTAAACAAGGTTAGCTAGCTGTTTACAATTGCTAGCCAAGTTAATATGCTACTGCAAGTCTAAGAAGACAGCTGAATTGTTTCTATGTTGTTGTCCCACAGACTTATCCTGCATCTCGCACATGTCTGCTTGGGTAGCTACGTAATCGGTGTGCTAGCACAGACATACTGTGACACAAAAGTGAAGCAAAAATGTGCAGGACTCCAACCCTCCAGGACTAGAGTTTGATACCCCTGGTCTAGCCTGATACGAGTAAATTCCAGAGTTGCTTGGATCACTTTCAGCGCTCAGTTACCAGCATTCCTGCTCTGTCATCTTCCCAATTCTTCATGTTGGCAGGTGAGCAAGCTGGAGCGGGAGAAGTCGCAGGACGTCAAGCGGATCCGAGAGCAGGAGCAGCGCCGCCACACGGTGGCGCTGACGGAGCAGCGGGCCCGCTGGCACGAGGAGAAGCAGAAGGAGCTGCAGGCCTTGCGGGAGACGCTGACGCGCCAACATGAGCAGGAGGTCGCCCGTATTATCAAGATCCGCGATGCCGAGAACCAGCGGCTGAAGACTGCTCTGAGTGCCCTGCGCGACGGCAGCGGGGAGAAGGTACGGACGGCCCTCACGCTAGAGGCCCGGGAGGACGCCCGCCGATTTTTTGACCAGGAGCGCGTAAGGCTGCTTCAGGAGATCACCGAGCTCAAGACCTCCAAGAAGCAGGCGGACCAAGCGTTGAGTGACATCATCCAGGCTGACAAGATGAAGGCTGGGGACTTGCGCAGTGAGCACCAGCTGCACCAGGAGGAGCTCTCCAAGATCAAGTGGGACTGCGAGCGTAACGTCCGGAGACTGGTGAGTGCATCTCCATGATATTTGGGGAATGCCAAGGTAGGTAGAATATGAGCTTCAGGAAGCACAGTGGGTCAATTCAAAGGCCTGTAGGACTTAAATGGGCAACTGGATGTGTAACTAAAGACAAATTTATAAGCAGTGGCAACCCTGACAGAACTGAGCAGGGGGTTGTCTTGGGGACCTCACTGTTTCATAGGGGCAGCATGTAGCTCACTGGGCTAAGCCTCTGTGCCTCTGATTGGAAGGCTACTGGTTCAAAGCCCCCTGCCAGAATAGTCTCATCTGTGGGCCCTTGAGCAAGGCACTTAACCCCCAGCTCCATGGGCACTACTGCAGGTGCAAGACGTGGTAGGCAAGAAAATTTCCCCATGGGGATCAATAAAGTGTCATTATTATATCTGATCCTGAGGTATCGTCCACACAGTCTCTCTCATTAGCTGAAATGCTACATTTAATACTTCTACAAATTTTATTTGAGGACAAATAAACCAGCAAACATCCTTTACCAAGATGTTCAGTATATAATTCCTCAGGGCCATTTATGTGGCGCTTTCTGTGCTGATATATGCAGGTAGACGAGATCAAAGCAAAGGATCGCAGTATATTCTCCCTGGAGAGGGAGCTGGAGACGGCGATGGGCTCCGTGCAGAAGCTGCAGCTGCAGAAAGACGCCCTGGATGAGCAGCTGTTCCTGGCCAAGGAGGCCGAGTGCAACCTGAGCAGCCCTAAGCGGGAGATCCCAGGCCGCATGGGAGATGGCGCTGAGCAGTGCGGGAGTCCGGTAAGACGTCTGGGAGGTGGGAAGCTGAAGAACAGCACAAACTAGCTGGACCTTGGTTATAAGCTCTAAAAACCCAGCGGAAGTTTCCAGAGGATAACGTGGATTAACATTATTTGGACAATAACACTATATGGACAAAAGTATTGGGACACCAGCTTGACCAGCATCTCTCTGTGACTCAAAGGGTATTAATTAGAGTTGGATGCCTCGAGACCACTTTTATGTGGTCTTGGTCTTGTCACAGTCTCGACGGTCTTTGGTCTTGGTTTTGTCTTGGTCTCGGATCCCTCGGTCTTGTCTTGGTCTCGCTGTCTTGGTCTTGCTGTCTCAGATCGACATAGTGGTTGGGAGATTTGGAGCAAAAAGTATCCATGACACACAACGTAACGTTCGATAATGCAACATTATTATTATTTCTCCTTTCGCGCCCTTCTAATGCAACCAATCAATAATATACATGCATTTTGTTGTGATTCAGACATTGGCGCTCATCCAATCAAAATACGCGTTATATGCGCAAAATAAGTGTAGCGCTAGTTAAACGTTAGTTAAATGTGTAATCACATGCCACTGCAGACATCAAGATGTCATAATCTTTTAAGCACTTGTCCTTATTCTTATTGATGCATAATTTGATGTGCAGTTTGTATTGGTATATAGTATTTGTAGTTTGCATTTGTATTCATGTGACGTGTGCGCATGTCTTTATATTGTTTGATTACAGTATTTTACTTAAAATGGTGTTGTTTGACTAAATAAATGTGACCATTGACTTTTAAATAACATCTGCATATCACGTTGTGTTGACTTAACAGGCCTAATCCATTTCAGGAAAGTTGATATCATACAGTGTCATTTGGCTAGTACTACTACAATGGGACGTGATGCAATTTCAAGTTTATAATTGTGTATCTTCAATTTGATGTTACAATTTCATCTACAAATTAAGTATAATTGAAATCAGTTACATATTTCCCATTCTTTAGACAGTTGTTAGATGTGCTAGCTGTTTTGTCAGATGACTTTGGGACCAGTCAGTACCCATCATGTCAGTCCTCAAAAGCACACAAGAGTCTTTTTTTTCGGTCTCGTCTCGACGTTGTCTTGGTCTTGATTCTGTATGTCTTGGTCTTTTGTCTTGGTCTTGTCTTGGTCTCGATACCCTCTGGTCTTGGTAGTGTCTTGGTCTTAGTTTAGGCGGTCTTGACTACAAGTCTAGTATTAATATGAAGGTTGTCCACCCTTAGCTGCTATAATAGCCTCTGATCTTCTGGGAGGGCTTTTCATTAGATGTTGAAACATTGCTTGTTGGATTTGCTGCCATTCCGGTTGGGTATTGATGCTGGGTGATCAGGTCCCTCTCTGTGAGCTTGTGTGGCCCCCACCTCGCAGCTGAACTTGCTCCCAGATGTTTCCACTTCACAGTCACTTCACTCGCCGTTGACCAGGGCAGCTCCAGCAGGACAGACATTTGGAGAAGCGACTTGTTGGAAAGGTGTCCAATGCTGACCAATGACGGTGCTGGGCTGGCTAACCTCTTCTGTATGACCCCCCCAAGCTGCTGTCATTGTTTGAGGCTGCAGGTTGCATGTCTGTGTGTTTAATTACACACCTGCATGTCAGCAGTGGGTGTGGCTTATGTGGCTACTTCCTGTAATTACTACAGGTGCCCCGATACTTTTGTTCATATAGTGTAAGTAAAATCATAATGTCACAGGAAATAATATGCAAGAAATATTGAGATCCATTGACATATTGATTTAACTTAAAACTTTGTTACCCATTTTTGGTGACGTGACCCAGGATTCGCGCAGGAACCAGAGGCGTCTGGCAGGGCTGAACTCCACCATTCGCCGACTGGAGGACCGCAACGCTCTGTTGGTGGAAGAGAGGAACGAGCTGGTATGAGGCTGATCATCAGCTCGAACCCGTGGCCTTAACCAGCTAGCAGGTTCCTCTGGACCTGTCATATTTGACCAGGAGTCCTGGACATGCCTTTGGTTCACAGTCAGCATGAGAAACTCCTCTGCAAAGGATCTGGGGTGTCGAGCCCCTGGCATCAGGCACCACTTCTAAGCACGTGTTGTTCTTGCAGCTGAAACGTGTTCGAGAGACGGAGAAACAGATCAAGCCCCTGTTGGAGAAGAACAGGCTGCTGGGTAAGAGGAACGATGACTTGACCCAGTCTCTCCAGCGACAGGAGGAGAAGATCCGCTCGCTGGCCAAGGAGAACATGGAGATGGTAAGACTTAAAGCTGCAAGATTATTATCACTGCAAAGTCTTCTTATAAATCAAAGGCAAAATTTATGTCAACAACAACAACAGAAACAATTTAATTTTATATACCACATTTAATTGACCCAAGTATGCTTCAAAGAGGAAATAACAAGCTAAAGGTATTAATTACAAATAAAAGACAGAAGAGATAAAACATAACCACGAAAAATATGACAGAGACAGCAGACTACCTCAAACCGTAGTAACAGAGAATAGATAAGAGGAGAGTCAATGATCAAAGGAAAACCAGCAGCGGAGAGAGAAGAGGTGGGACTTGAGTTGAGATTTGAATATGGGGGGAGACGTAGAGGCTCTGGGGAGGGAATTCCTCCACTTGGGGGCTGTAGCCTTAAATGCGTTCTGTACTGTCCAGGGTCACCACCACCCTCTACTGGATAGCAAGGGTGTACATTTGGATGTAGACGGTAGGAACATGTCCCTAAAAATACTGTGGGAGTACCGTGTCTGGTTCAGAGGGGCGATAATTTGGGGCTGATTCTGTTCCTACCAGTGTTGAAACCAAGCTTACACCCTTGGTGGAGAAGCATTTGGAAAATGGATGGATGGACAGATAGGTAGATGTTCTGATGGACACTTGTTTCCCACAATGTGATTTATGAATTGTCTTGTCAGAAAGTTACGAGGTCATGCAGTAAGGCTTTAAGGACCAAGCCATGTTTTTGTCCGTAGAAAGAAAAGATCAGCTCTCACCCTCCTCTGAAGAAGCCAAAGTCTTTGAATGATCTGGACCAGGTTCATGTCGAGCAGGAGATTGAGTTCCTGAAGCTGCAAGTTCTGGAACAGCAGAACATTATAGATGATCTGACCAGGGTGAGTCCACTAAATGCAGTTACAGATCATTTTATAGAAAGTACATCCCCATTATGTTTGAAAGTCATCTCGTATAACATCCTATCTTTGTGAAATGAAGACTGCCTTTTTTCCATGGAATCAGCTTTCTGATATGAAAATTCACATGCTGAGTCAGACACCCAAACACTCAAAATTCTGTTGTTTCATTATGTTTAACTGAAACGTTCTTTGGAGAAATATTTCTATATGGTATATTAAAGCACATGATTTTGTGATTTGCCGTGTGTGAGTTAATGTTCTCATTGGGTCAGGATAGGGAAAGACTCCGCAGAAAGCGACAGAAACGCAGCTCCAGGCCTTTGAAGGTAGGAATTCCATGGGGGCTAAAACACTCATTTATCTCAAAGGCAAGGGACCGGATAACGGTAATAACATGCTGATTGGTGCAGAGGCATACGGTGGTGGACACCTTCTTCGGCTATGATGAGGAATCGATGGATTCTGAAACCTCGTCGCTGGCCTCCTTCCGAACAGACAGGACCCCCGCCACTCCTGATGAAGACCTAGAAGAAGTAAATCACCCGATCCCTGCCTAGCATAATGTTTGCCCAGAGTTTCTGTACGTTGTGCTGCTTAAAAGTACGGCTCAGTACGACTTGTAGAGGGGCCGTGCGGTCCGGACACTGGTCTCTCTCACTCCACCTGTGCCTCTCTGCAGGGGCTACCCTCTGAGGACACGGAGCTGCGTTTCCGACAGCTGACACAGGAGTACCAGGCATTGCAGCGAGCATATGCCCTTCTGCAGGAGCAGAAAGGAGGCGTGGTGGATGCTGAAAAGCAAGCTAAGGTGGGCTAGCAAGCTCACGCGACTTGCTGACGTTAAACAGCTGGGCAGCATAGTCACATACGAACTGAAATCTGAGATACGCTATATAGCCAAAAGTATTAATTAAGCCACATCCATTGCTGATGCAGGTGTATAATTAAGCACAGAGTCACGCAGTGTCCAGCAACAAACATTAGCAGGAGAATGGGTGGTATTGCAGAAGAGGTTAGTGACTTTCTGTTTGGCACCATCACAGGATGCCATCTCACCTACAAGTTGGTCCCTCACATTTCTGTCCTGCTGGAGCTGCCCTGGTGAAACACAAGTGAAGTGATTGTGAGGGTCAGAATGTCTGGGAGCAAGTTTGGGTGTGAAGTGGTTGGCCTCAAAAGCTCACAGAAACCTTTTAACCCAACATCAATACCAAAACCAAAGAGCAGCACATCTTACGGACAGTGTCCCAGCATCTAATGGAACGCTTTCCCAAAAGAGAAGCAACACGGAGTGGACCAGCTTCATATTAATAGCCTTGGTTTTGGAATGAGATGTTGGACAAGCTGGTGTCCGCACACTTTTGGCTGTACAGTGTGCGCATTTGGACCTAATACTTGGCAACGGCTTTATGTCCCTCAGGCTCACGAGCAGGTCCAAGCTGATCTCCTGATGTTCAAGGCCAAAGCTGAGGACCTTGAAAAGGAGCTCACCTTGAAAGGACAGGTACCAGTCCGCAGAGGCTGAGAACAGATTACCGTCATGTTCAATGTTAAATGCGTGCAGTTTTTCTGGAGCTCTTTCATGACCACAGAGGTAGGAACACATGTGTCAACGGTGTAACATGCTGCTGTAATGTGTAGAACATGGTCTAATTTTCAGGACTCAAAGTGGGTGGAAGACAAGCAGTTGTTCCTCAGAAGAAACCAGGATCTTGTTGATAAGGTGTGGTTCTCTCTGGGTGACAACATATGAATCTTCATTTTGTGTCATTTATCTGCCGCACCAGTATAACTGTGCCAGAGTGAAACTGGGCTTGTCTCTAGGTAGAAAAGCTTGAAGCGGATGTTAATCAACTTCAGAAGGAGTTACAGGACACCAGGGATCAGGGCGAGCTGATGGAGTTCAGGATTCTGGAGCTGGAGGTAACTTTCTAGGCCTGAATCGATGAGGAAAAAAATTCCCTTAAAGAGCAAGCAGCAGTTATCAGTGTCTTCAGTTATCAGTGTAACCAGGTTCTGATCTTTTGTGAACTTTCAAAGTATAGCTACATGCTTTGGAAGAAACTGTTAATGCAATATTTTGTTGTTCTGTAGGAGCGGGAGAGAAGGTCACCTCCATTTAACCTCCAGATTCACCCCTTCAGAGAGGGGGTCAGCGCTCTGCAGATATACTGCATGAAGGAAGGAGTGAAGGTGCGACTCTGACCTCGGCGCCACGTCTGTATACAGCCCTGCAGTACAGCAGAGGAAACCCCAGTTAAAGAAGTTTGAAAGCTTCAATAACAGATGCTTGGAATAATTTGCAAGCATGACAGTTAGATAAAATTGACATTTGTCTTGAATGCATTCGAATATGAGAAAATGTTCATCACACATTAGATCATTTATCTGTGGTCCTGCATTCTGTGTGTTAAGTTTGAATGTGTGTACGTCATAAACTTCTTAAATTATTTTTTTTTATTTTTACTGTTCAGATGTTAAAATACATGTACACATAACCTAAAACTGAAGAACCCAGGAAAATGAAGATCACCAGGAACCACCCATGTGTCTTATGCTGCAGTGTAATAAACCCTATCTGAGACAGTCAGGGATGTGGTTGTAGCAGGAGAGCATCTGAGTGACTCTCAGGTATCGACTTCAGTGCTGCGTTTCAGATGATAATGACCCTGATGTGTCTGTTCGAACCCCAGGACGTCTGTATTCCAGATCTAATCAAGCTGCTGGATATTCTTGGCGATAACGGGGTGAGTATTACGTGATCATGTTAATTACTAGGTTTATATGGACTCCTGTCCCAGACAGGAGCTGGGGACAGACGGCACCTCTCTGTGTAACTGAAGTTTATGACTCCCCTTAAAATGCAGAATTTGCGAAACGATGAGCAGGTGGCCATAATCCAAGCCAGCACTGTGCTCTCTCTGGCTGAGAAGGTAAACCTACCGCACCATGCAAAATTCCTAATATGCGTAACAATGTATGTGTTATTTTTTTTATGACTATAATTTAGTTTAAATAATGTAATGCGTTTTTACCATTTATGTCCCCAAATCGCTAACATTAGCATAGCTGAAGTAATTTCAATTCGATTTCTTTAGAAGTCATTCACAAGGTAAAGGGGTCTGTTTCTCTGACAGCAGTGTGGCCTATGTCACTGTATTCAGCACGTGGCCTCTCTGTCACCCCCTAGTGGATCCAGCAGATCGAGGGCACAGAGGCGGCTCTCCATCAGAAGATGGTGGATCTGGAGGTAGAGATGGTGGGTTTTCTTTCATCCAGTCACCAGAGGCCTCGGAGGGAAGCTCACTGAGACCTGCTGCTGCCAGTAACCTGGGCACCTTCTTCACGTCGTCTGTCTTTATGCAGGAAATGTTCCGCAAGCAGAAAGGCTACCTGGAGGAGGAACTCGACTACAGGAAGCAGGCCTTAGACCAAGCCTACACGGTATATACACTAAATACTCCCTTTTTGATGGTAAAACTCATGTTCATGCTTTTAAATAAGGTTGGTCAGTAACACGGTACTTCATGGGGCACAAATAACTTAGCATTATGCTATTACTTGTGTATTAATTAACTACAAAATAAGTCTTAGCTACGTACTGATCTCATGTTTATTCATTAATGAATCATGACACATGTTTTATATCAAGCAGTTACTATATTTGTTACTATATCTGTTAATTCTGCAAACCTTCGTGAACCACTGAAGGAGCAAGTAATGAATAACACAAGTAAAATACTAATTTTGTGTTTGTTCATCATTAATGAATTGTGACGTATCTTTTATCTCAAGTAGCAACTATATTTGTTCATGATTTGTACTTCAGTAGTAACTGAGTTACCACCAAGTATTTGTGCCCCGTCCAGTAAAGTGTTACTGGTTGTTCTTACTCAACTGTAATATTTTCATAATGTGGTCTCTGTTTCATGCCAGATCCTTAAAATAGAATTCTAAGTTTTTAATATCTGACTGGAGTTTGTGGTCATTAGGGTTGCCCCAGGACAGTCAGTCCTGAGAAACAGATGTTTAAAAAGAGACGTGTGTGGCAAAGCTGGAGGCCGCCTGCAGGGGGTGCTGTTTGGTTTGGGGAGAGGTGCTCAGGCATGCCACGGCCTCTCCTCCCTCAGCAAATCCAGGAGCTGGAGGCGACGCTGTACAACGCGCTGCAGCAGGAGCCCGCGGTGCTGTACGGGGAAGCACTTAATGACCGGCAGCGCGACGAGCTGCAGGCCGCCGTGGGCAAACTGCGACGGCAGATGCTGCGCAAGAGCCGCGAGTATGACTGCCAGGTGCTGCAGGAGCGCATGGAGATGCTGCTGCAGGCCCAGCAGGTGAGCACCTTCAGGCTGTGTAACAGTTCAGTTCCACAGACTTCATGTGGCTTCCTCTGGACATAGCCATGCCGAGAGGGTGTGCATTAGTGATTGACAAAATGACACTTCATGCACCATACTTTCTGATCCCTCTAGATGGTGCTCTTGGTTTACTTTGGGGCATGCTTCGTGCCCTTTTTGTACAGAGAGCACCATCTAGTGGAGTCAAAAAATACAGCGAATGGTTCATGAAGTGTCATTTTGTCCATCACTAGTGTGCATCCACACAAAGCCGCTGGCCAGGTTCACTCAGGGTCTTAGAAACAACACTGCAATGTTGCGGTTGTGAAACTGAATCTTTTACAGTGGAGCCTTTCGATCATTTCGCACTGCAGAGAATCCGAGATCTGGAGGACAAGACCGATATTCAGAACAGACAAATCAAGGACTTGGAGGAGAAGGTGAGGAGGCTGTGGTCATGTGCAGGTCACCTACCTCTGTCACGCTGTAGGATTAAGTTCCTTTGTTTGCACTGTAACAACAAGATATCAAGTGACACTGTTGTAATTGAGATCTGCCAGGAAGCCCATAGTAATTCCAGGTGGGAATGCAGCACGTACACAGAGCAGAGTACACGGTGTTAAGGGGCTGCTACTTGTTCAGATAATGACAGTAATTACACATGAATAGCTGCACCGTATGGCTTTAACTAACTCTCTCTCTTTTCCCGCTTTTCTCTCCCTTTCCTTTTGAAGTTTCTCTTTCTGTTTTTATTCTTCTCTCTTGCCTTTATTCTTTGGCCTTGATGTCTGTGACATGACCTGCTGAGGTGGGTAGACCTCCTAAAAATCACACAACACGGATTGATTGCTTTTCAGTAGAACAGAACTAAACGAAAGCCTGGTCCTACATGCACTGTGTTATGCTGGTCTTTGCTCTGCCGGTGCAGCTCTTCACTTCTGACAGGCCGTACTGATCGTTCTCTTGGCTCTCTACCCGCAGGCCCTCTGGCAGCGCGAGGACACTGTACACAGCAGCATTAGTCTTAAACCATATGTTCACCCTGGCCTTGTTTACAGCTTTTACACGTATGTAGCAAGAGCTACTCCTGCCGGATGAAGATAAGCCATTTGCTGGACCATGACCGGAGATTCTGCACGTTTCCTTGTAAACCCACAAGTAACACTTATAAGCTGCAGTATTAACTAGTGATGGGAACTTCTGACTTTTATGGGACAAGATGTGACATAAAAAATGAACCCCCATCTCAGATATCAAGCAAACCAAAGATGGGAAACCTGTTTCTCTGCCATGCAGGGGGAAGCTGAACGATATTATTGTCTCGAGGTCAGCTGTGTTTGGGGAGGCGCCCTCTGGCTGTTGGAGGGTTAACTGCGGGCACCCCTGTCCCCACCGTAAAACCTCTTTGAAAACCCGCGCGCCTGATATCTCAACGCACTGTGACGGAACATAAAGAGGATCACGTCTTTCTGCAAGTATTCAGCAGATCTGAAGGTGGGGTGGCAAACGCAGCAGATCAGTGATCACTGCTGCTTAATCCTTTTTAAAAGATTTTTTTTGCTAGTTATTTTTTGCTAGGTTCTTTATTTTAAAAAATATATGGAAAAGACGCCTTTGTCTTCACATTCCGAGATATCGGCTTGTGTACGCAAACATACACTATGCAGCTGAAAGCGTGTGTTCACAATCACCTACTGTTTTCCTGCGCGGACAACTGGACCAATCGATCTCAAACGCAAGTTCCAAACTGGAATCGATTTGTCTCTCCCCCATCCCTTTCACTCGAGAAATTATCTCCTGTCTGACAGACTTGAGGTCAAATGCACTGGTATTCATATGCACCTGGAAATGCGGTGTTTAGCGATAGTTCACTTTGAACTGAATGTAATTGTGTCGCATTAAAGAGCATGTATCCTGCAAACATACAGGTAAGCAATGCTGAATTTTGCAGCAACAGACTCAGAACTGCCTTATTGCATTTACTGGTAATGGATTACGTAAAGCACTGGATGTGATTATTACGTAAAGCACTGGATGTGATTATTACGTAAAGCACTGGATGTGATTATTATTTTGTGCTGTACTTATGTGAACCTTATACATACAAATTATTTTCCTCAAAGAATTTAAAAACGTGTATGTTGGATAAAATTGAACACTTGGGTGTGAAAGACAATCTATTTTCTAATTTTAATTATCACACTGTAATTCACGTTCAGTTTATCGTCTCAGTACAGCTTTTTGTTGCCTAGCGCAGTATTTCCCAGTCCGGTCCTCATGGACCGTCTGTGGGTTCCCAAGGACTGGTTTGAGAATCACTGGCCGGGGGCAGAGGGAGATGGTTCTGTGTTCGCATTGGCGATGGCTTGGGAAAGTATATACATGTTTGTAGCATACAGCATAAAAATGCAGTTTAAAAAGTCTTGTTAAATTCCTTAATTCTGAGAGAATGTGAAGGGCACATGAACACTGCATTTGTATGCTAAATCTGAATATGATCAAACTATTTAATGAATGTACAGAATTTATTTGTATGCATTTGACCCCAGGTCTGATTCCCTGTCTGTATCTATATGCCTGATGGATCATGGAGTGTTTGCTAGTTTGTAAATACCTGCCACGTTTGCATTTTGGTGGATTACGATGAGAGCACTTCAGTTTTTTTCTTAAATGTCTTTCTCTGCAGTTGGGAATAGTTCTTTGTTAGATGCCGTCACAGACAGTGTCTGTAAGAAATACCTGCGAATGCGTTATTGTTCCTAATTATTGCCAAGCTGTGGTCCTGCTTGAAAAATATGTGAATAAGAAAATTATTCATGAATAAATGGTCAGTCAACAAATGAAGGACACATTAAATGGGATGCACATAGCACTCAATTCTGACTGATTTCCAAGGATATATCTATTATAAACTGCCTTAAATTCACAGATCTCCTTTGACAGTTTTATTTAACGTAATGTTTTGGTATTCACTTTTACACGTCTATTCTTTGTCCATTTATTTTTACTTTACTGTTATATTCTTTGTAATATATGCAGCAAAAATGAACTAAATTAAATATTCATGGCCTTCAAACGTTTGCACCTTTACGTTGTTATGCTGCTTGACTGTAAGATGCTTTACAAACTGACTCTGAGGAACCAATATCGGTCACTTCTGTTATTTTGCATAAACAGATCTTAAATCATAGGTCATAAACACTGTATACCGTCACAAATAAAAAGGGGATGATCAATATAACACTAACGTGGTATCATTTTAATATATTTTAATGTCTGGAGGTTTGTAACCAACATGTAGATAAGTTAGTTTTGCAGACTGGGTCACCTGTTCAGCTCTTCAGGACAATATCCCATTTATCACTTTTACGACATCAGTTCTTGAGCAATATAAAAGCAGTTTATTCCTTACAACGTGCAATAAACTTATAAAAGACATTATTTCAGCTGGATTCAGACAAGCCACAGAGAGTGAATGCCAAGAACGATGTTTCAGAACAAAAAGTTCAGACAGATAAAACAGATAAAATGTTCGAAATAAGAAAAATAAATATGAGCACCGGAACAGGGATCAAACAGATGATGGCTGAGCAGCTTCAGTAAGTAACATATTTGGATTGACAGGAAACCACTAAGGTAAAGGGACAGCCTGCCTGTCCTCATTACATTCACCCTGCATACACAGCAAGCCTGACACACCAACACATGCTAGCATGGAGTGTGTCACTCGCAGGGAGTGTGTCCTTCAGTATGCGTCTCCACACAGTGCGCCGTGCAGTGAAGTGTCAAAGTTCAAAAGTCACAGTATGCTGCAGAACACCGGTCCCGGAGCAAGACCGCACGCCTGTACTTAAACTCACACTTAGTCCTAATCTAAGGCTAGTCTCTAGGTCAGGACTAACCTTGCAAAACATTGTATATCAAACATAAATGCAACATATATTTTTATACGCTGCTTAAGCGTACATAATAGCATATATAAATAAAAAAATCAGTCTTCTACTTTGGAATGGACACTGCCCCCCACAGGGACGGCCTGGGATGGGACGGCTAGTGTTAACGTATTCAGCACGTCTGCTTATAGGCGGTACGATAACTGACAGCAGCTTCACCATGCTGGCTCAACAATTCAGTTCACTCATTTCAGCCATAGCTTTCTGGGAGAGTGTGTATCTCTTACCAGCCCCGGCCCACGAGGCTGTGCCCATCAGCAGTCAATGCCTCCTGCAGTGACAGTTAAGGCAAGCTTGCGGCTGTAACTTTACTATTACATTTCTATTCTAATCCCATTTCTCTCATGTGATCCAGGCGGGTCCCCATCTGTGACAATCTAGCACAGTCTCAATGCTTTCACGTCCATGCAGAGGTCATCGTAGGAGGGAAAGAACAAGCGTGGAACATGTGACGCTAAGAAATCATGTTAATGGCCACCGCCATCATTTCACTGCCGGATTCCTTCATTTACCTCTCAGGCCGGTATTTACAGTCAACTCCAGAAATAATGGCACCCCTCAAGAAAGTGAGCACTATAGGTAATGCATGTAATGATTATAAAGGTTGAAAAGCATGGAACTGATGAAAATTTGCCAAGAAGGGGACGCATCCACATACTGTCCCAACAGTGAGGAGGATGCTCAGAGAGGCAAAGAACAGCACAAAGATCACAGTTTCACAACTGCAACCTTTCAGATCAAAATTTGGTCACTCCAGCCAGAAGCTGAAACTAGGCTGAGGCTGGGTCTCCCAAAGAGACAATGATCAGAAGCACAGATCAAAATCGACAAAGAAATGGCTGCAACAAAACAAAATCAAGGCTTTGCCTGGCTCTCAGTCTTTGGGCTTGAACCCAATAGAAAATTTATGGCTTTATTTTGCTCTAAAAATCTGTTTGAAAATAAAAGCACATTTGTTTTAGCCAAAAAATATTTTGCATGTGTGATTCTTTTAAAATACTAATTTTAGCTTGTTTTCATGAAGGGTGCCAATAATTCTGAGGTGACTACGTTGGGGAAAACAATTTGCTGGTCTTCTATCATAATCATATATTCATATCGCTTTAACGACAAAAAAATTATATTACTCTTTATATAAAAAATTTCACTTGTGTAACAACTAAAAGATAATCATTTAATAAAATATTTTATCAAATCACTCTATCATCAATATGGGTAAAATTCTTTTTACACTAGTGGATTCTTCTAAAAGCCTCCGATTGTCTTAAATCAGCACTTGTGTCGGATTGGCTCTTCGCTGCCCACCATGTGGGTCAGTCAGTCTCCGCCTCCTAGCTGAAGCACTGCGGTTTAAGTGATCCCGGCTACCGGCTGTAGATTAAATAAAGCCTTTGCAAATACCCGACAAGCGCCCTTTGAAGTGCAGCTTGCATGACGGAGATGACGGAATGGGGAATCGACGGGCCTTTAGAGAGAGCCTTGGCACTGTGGTTCGACCCGTATGGGGGGCGGAGTGTGCTTGGGGTCAAGGCCCTGGGGCGACCGGTCACACGGCATCCTCGTCATAGCGGCCCTCCCCCACCAGCAGCGAGTGCTTGTCGGGCTCCGCCAGCGCCATGCTGTTAAGCGAGCGCTTGTCGGACCGCAGCGAGCTGAGGGAGGCCCGGCTGTAGTGCAGGATGCGGTCCAGCAGGCTGAGCCGGGGGGAGGCCCGACACCGATCCCCCATGCCAATGTGCACGCTGACGTCCGATAGGCTGCTGTGTCGCATGGGGGCCCGGAGGCGGGACTCCAGCTTCTCAGCACTGGGTTTGGAGTAACTGTGGGAGGGGGGGGTGGGGGCGGGGGTTTGAAAAGGAGAGAGAGAAAGAGAGAGGGAGGGAGGGAGAAAGTGAGGGAGGAGACAAGCGACACAAATGTTCCTGTAATGACAATGATAACGATGTTACGGATGTCATAATAAAAAGTGCTATTATTGTTACAATATTCAATAAACTCCTGATGCGGCATCGCTTACACGCCACATTTCCAGCTATATGGTGCCTCTGGATTTAAAGCATCTTAAACTGTAAGCAGTGACTGAGGCCTTTCTGGACTCTACTTGAAACCCGTGTGAAAATATCACAGCCGGCCAAAATCTGCACAGGAAAAAAACAGGCAGACAGCATTCATCAATCCACAGGATCTCAGACAGCTGTGGCCTTTGTGTCCAGAAGCTTCCAGAAAACTGAGGGGTCAAAGCACGGTGGATTAATGGAGGAAGATCAGCGGTAGGGAGCAGCTCACCACTTCAGCAGGAGGGAGGAGAGCACGACGGAGACGGAGGAGGCTGCCATGGCGGCGGAGGCCATCCAGGGCTGGAGCACAAGGCCGACGGGCAGGAAAACACCTGCGGGCGAGACACCGGGCATGCATGAGCGCCCATACACACACACACACACACACACACACAGGGGCATGCATGAGCGCCCACACACACACACACACACACACACACACACACACACACACACAC